TTTTCCTGAAAAGAAGGTCCAGGAGTGGTAAGGGAAATGTGGTATTATGTTAATGTTTATGTTTGGCTGTAGTTCATCAAAAATGAAGGTTAATACAGTTCTCTCTTCCAGGCTGTGTATAAATTGGCAAATGACAGGAACAACATTTGCTTCTAATCACCCATCCATCTTAATAATGCCGAACAGATACAGTGCACACGCAATTGCAGAACAGATACAGTGCACACGCAATTGCAGAACAGATACAGTGCACACGCAATTGCAGAACAAGCAGCATTTCACGACGTGGGAATGTTTGCCAGTTTGAAAGAGGACCTCGAATCCGGGGAGAGTTACATTTTTATGTTTTGATGGTGATCTTCTTAGAAGATACTTATTAGGTCCATTTGTTGACAACATTAAGAATTAACAAATTACGTTGGTAAAGGATAACAAAGGTTTAATGGTTTCATTAGAGAACTATAAAGTCTGTTACTTAAGAAAGGAATATTCTGGTGTTTGAAAGCAGGAAATATTTACTGAAGGACTCTTTGGGGTCTAATTTCTAGAACCGAGGCAAAGTTCAGCTATTATGATCTAAAGAATTAAAAAAGTAAAACAGAGGAGCAATGTCTTTGTATGTTTTATGCCACCAAAGTCCCTTCATACCTAAGAAAGTTGTCAGTTATGTGAGTGCATTGAGTTGGCATTTTTTTAAGCCAAAAATGGAAGGCAAATTATTGTAAGAAGTAAATTCTACTTTCTTTCCAATGTGGGAAGAGGGCTGTTTCTGTTGTTGTGGGAAAGTGGGAGAGGTGTGCTTCGGAAAGCGCCCACCTGTTAGTGCTTGTCACCAGAGAGCAGAGACTGCTGAGTCACACGCAGTCCTCTGCAGACCCTTCTTTCTTAGCACAGAGTTCTGCCTGCTGCCCTTGGCAGGAGTATGTATTTGGCACTCTGCAGAAGTGAGAGGAAGCAGTGCCAGATTCCACTGTGGTAGCTAATACAGTGACACTAAAGGGTCTAAGACACCCTGCATCCAGGTCTCCCAGGTAAGGAGTGGAAGTGGCCTCTTCTAGAAAAGGACAATTATGGGAGGTGGGAGGGATTAGTTCTTAGGAATGAAAGAAACCATTTACAAGTTTGGGAAATCTGCCTATCATTTAATAAAAGTGAATTAAGACAATTATCTGAATCGTTCAACTAAGTTTGGGCCAAATTATGTTTTGGTCTGAATTATTCAGATAATTGTGTTACAGTGGAAAGAATTCTGAACTGGGGGTTGGATCTTGGTTTCCACCTGGGTCTGCCACCAAAGAGCGTTTAAACTAGTCTCTGGGCCCCTGTCTTCTCATTTATAAGATTAGGGTCTATCCAAGAGTCAGCGGATTTAACTTTGTATTTTGTGTGCAAACACACATTTCCTGAGGCAGAAAAACGTCAAGTTTGTGAAATTGTGCAGTAGTGGAACCAGAGTGGGCATAGGTAATTCTCCTTAGGCATGCTTCCAACTCAACAAGGTCAACCCTGGGTGCCCCTAGAGGAATTCATCTTCATCTGCTAGAGGTGAGACATTCTCTGATTTCTTTTTTCTTTGAGAATTCATGTGGGATCAAGAATCTGACTCAATTCTAGAGGGAACCTTGGTTAGGTTGGTTATCCATAAACTAAGGGACTTGGAGTAAGCCATCTCCAGTGGTGGTGAAGTTATTCACTGCCGTGGCTCACACAGGCAGCAGCGGCAGGGCCCATGACCAGGGCACGGTCACCACCTGACCCCATGCTTCCCGGATTTATGAGCCTCATCTTCTACATCAGAAGGGAGGTTACACTGATCAGAATGTTGTGTGTGACTTCCCAGAGAAGTTTTCAGCCCTCAAAGGCAGCAGACTTGATCCCTGGTTGTGAGGAGGGCCTGGCGGGCAGACTGGAAGAGGCTCCGGACACTGTAAGCTGAGGCCCAGTGGCCTGGAGGGTTCTTCTAGGGGGTTGAGGGGAAAGGGGACCGTAAAGCGCCGGCCGATTTGGGGCCACAAGTGGGGGTCTTTGAAAACTGACCCATGGAGCCCTCGGCCCACGTCCCTGGGTCCCGGCAAACCTGTCAGGTATCAAAGGGCGTTTTCCAAACCAAACAGACGACCGCCCCGCCGCGGCCCGGGGTCAGCTGGCGCTCGGCAGCCTGGTGTTTGCACAGGTGGGCCCCGCGCGGCCGGGGGTTGGGGAAGGCTGTGCGAGAGGGGTGAGGTGGGTTAGCGAGAGGGGCGGGCGCGGGGAGGTCTGGGCTGGGTGCTGAGGAGGGAAAGGCCACTCTTGGCTGCCCCGGTCATGTGCGCAGGGCCCGGGCGTTCCTCGGGCGCCGCGGAGGAATCCAGTTTTCTGGGCGGATGTCGGAAAGGACGGTCTCGGCGGGGTCACCCGCCGACGCTGCGGCCCGAGGCCGGGGTCCTGCAGGCACCCCAGAGCCTCTTCGTGAAGGCGCGAGTCTCCGCCGCGACGCGCGGCCCCCGCGGAATTGGAGCGTCGCCTGCACTCAAAGCACCCGTGCGCCTTTCCGCTTTCACTAAGGGGAGCCGGTGTGGTTCCCTTCCCTCGGGGCCTCCTCCCGCCCAGCAGGGAGAGGCCGAGACTCCCGGGGCCGGGGGTGTGGAAAGGCAGGAGGCGGCGACAAAGCCCAGACCCTCCATCGCCGCCCCTCCCCCACACCTCGGGCCGCGAGTGTGATTGTCAGTTGGGTCGTGGGAGTCGGAGCTTGGACGCCGAAGAGGGGCGCAAAGTTCCTGTGACTCTGACCATTCTCTAGAAACCCTTACGGTACCTAGGGAGACAGCGAAGGGGACCAGAAGCCAGGGAGGGGACCCCAGTCAACCGGACTCCAGAACGTTCAATAGGAAGGATATTTTTGAGGGGGGGGGGACAGCTGTGATTTTAAGAACCTCGCCTCTCCCTTTTCCTCTTTTACTTTGCTGTTTCTGTGTTCTTTAACATAAATAAATCAGCCGCGATTTAAAACGCGGTGAACCCCTGGTCCTCCCCGCCCACGTCTCTTTCAGTTTTCTTTTCTGGTCTAATTATTGGCCTTGTGGGTGCAAATCTCTACTTAAATGTCCACCTTTTTTCATAATTCAACCCTATTATTATCACTCTTCACGACGACTAAGTAGATACAACCAAAATCAGTCAAGACTTGTTAACTAAAGTTGGGATTGTCTTTTTTCTCCCATACCGGCCAAAAGAGAGCATCCTGAACTAAACTCCACTTTCTTTCCTCACCTCACAGCACGTAGATCCCAAATCATGCTCTTGTCTTGGATAAGCCGAGATACCCAAGAATGGCAGGAACAACAGCAGGGCCTAAAGTTCCACTCTCTGAATGCCTCATTCTTTCTTTGTCTTACTCTTTAGAATATTGCAATCCATACATTTTCACAGACCCGCTGCCTTTGAATTCACTGAGGAATAGCTGTTCACACTGTTTTCTGGTACTTCCTCTGATCAACACCTTCCATTTTTAATATGGGAGATTGTCTCTGCCCCATCTGAAGTGGCGTTTTCCTCCTTAGAGCACAACAGAAATGGGCCTGGCAGCCCCCACCCTGCAAAGGCTACCCTCCTACACAAGGGGGAGTGAAAAACTGCTACTGATGGGTGCATAACCAAATGAACGTTTGCATTGCTAAAAAGGTAAATGATTTTGCTTTGACAGAAACACTGACTTTCAAGTTGCCCTGAAGAATCTTTGGTGTAAGAGGGTCTTATGCTAAGATTGCTTCCCGCTTCTTGAGCCCCAAATCAGAAGCAATTTACTTGAAAATGTCAGCTGGACTATAAGCTTGTTAATAACTCAACTTGTCTGCTAAAGGATTCTTGGGGGAGAGGGGCACACGCCTTCCTATTTGTTCTGGTAACTCAAGCGAATTCCTACAGAGATCATTGGTTTGAAGTTTAAGAAATCCCATTGATGGAAGTCCCATCCTGGAGATTTGTACAGCAATTTGCCAGGCCAGGAAACCTGCAGACTGCCTCTACCTTTGTTGATTTATTCAAGAAAATATTTTGACCCCCACAGGAAGTTTCTTGAGAATCAAACCTGAACCCATTTTTTTGGGAGGGGGAGGAGTAAAAACACTCTCCATCTCCAACTCATCACCACAAAGTACTAAAGTCAGTTGTGAGTTTTATTAAAAAATATGCACTATGCCTGGGTTTCATAAAATTTATACATGAATATGTACAGAGACACAAATAAAATAATATTAAAAATAAAAATCACACTTGCTTTCCCGTGGCAGTGGTCCTGGCACCCCACATACATAGTGTTAACTTTTCCTTTAAAGAAATGGCTTGGCCCAAGGAGATGACAGTTCGAGATCACCGAACCACTAATAAAGCCGGAACCCGTTGCCTGCAACATTTTCAATTCAGGTTTCAAAAATATATAAATAATTTAATTACTAAACCCAACAATTTTTTTTTTACCTTTTGGCACAGCGAAGCATTGCTCAAGAGCAGAGAAATGACAGAAGATTCTCTGACACCTCTCTCACACTCAGTCATACCTGTAAATGCCACATAAATACACGGCGCGGGGCCCAGTGAACCCCAAACAGTAGTCATATCATTTATCATATGGAATGGTTCCCTGATGTGCTTTTTTTCTTTTCTTTCTTTTTTTAGGGACAAATCAGAAGGTGCCACAAAAACTGCAGGAATAAGGGGGAGCCTTGGAAGTAAGACAAGAGGAAAAGTCTTTGTGAAGGGAGGCAGGGACAGGCTTGGTCAAGGAACTAAGACAACTATGGAAGAATTGCTTTGGTCCTCTGTAAAGTTATAAAAGATGACGGAAAATATTCTGAACTAAGTTAAAACATTTCTGTCAAAAATGCTTTAGCTTTTAAGGCACGTTTGATGGAGATTTTTCTGTTAAAGTCTCTTTTCCTTTATATAGAAAGTGCAAAGCCCCCGAGCCTGCTCTCCCCGCCTCGTCCCCAGTGGCGCCCGCCCCCTCCAGGCTGAGCGGCTGCTCAGGCCAGCAGCGTCTCCACTGGGTAGGGCAGGTGCCGGCCGGGGCCGCAGGTCGTGGCCGCCTGCAGGGCTGCGGGCAGCCGCAGGGGGCAGTACAGGGGCGCGCCGCCACCGCCGGCCGCGGTGCCTCGGAACGGCTTG